AGTAGGTAGCTCCAGAAGTTTAGGTTGCTAATTTCCCTTTTTGTTTTTCCCCAAGGATCCATGCTACTTAAGTATACAAACCCAAGATTTTACAGGAACAGGTACAGTTAAAGAGGCTATCATGAAAGATTAAATTTATTATCACTGATGTGTTTGGTTAAGGTCTCAAGAATAAAATAAAAATGTTCCTGAATGGAAGCTGCTTCCCCCCAATTTTTTTTCTTTGTAAAAGAATTTTAAAAATAAACTTAGAAACCCCATAGTAAATATTGCTCAGCTGCTGCAACAAACCAAATGTAGCAGAGTACCTGGCCTTTTGTTATTTTTAAAATGCACTGGCTTCTTCATCACTAATAATGACTATTTTGGCATTTATCAACAAAATATGCATAGAAAAGTGAGGTGAGCTTGATTAAAACAGTCACTGACTTAAGGAACTTTCAGGCAGCTTTACTGGTGACACTGTAAAATAAACCTATTGAGAAAAAAAGAATACTTGGCTGAACATAATTAATCATGAACAAAGTCTCTAATATTCCATGTTCCGGGGCAAAAAGCTTTGATCCTTGCTGGAGACAGGGCATTGAGGAGCAGATTGTTGGACAGACCTCTCATGGTAATTCCTGTGTAGCCACCATCTAAACACAGACCCTGGAACAACTCATTGCACCTACACAGACCTCACAAAATGCTCAGCTAAACATCTCCCTGTCATCAAATGTAGGAATAACTAACAACAAGGATATCCTGTTACCAGCATAAACCTGTTCTGTAATATGCTTTCCTTCTAGTTCATCAGCAGAAGCAATGTGATTTTTCTAGGAGTTTTTTAAGCTTTCCAGCAGTAATTATGTATTTTCTGTGCAATGCCAGGGTGATAGGAGTAGATCCTTGTGGAGGTAACCACCCCTGAGAGCACCATGTGCACAGCAGCCAGCATTGCACAGCCAGGTGTGATTTTCATCTGTGCAATTAAGGTATAACTCTTCAGGTTTAGGCCTTCACACCATTTTACCTTTGTTTTTATTCCATTTTAAATTATATATCCAAAACCATAATGAATGAACATCTATGAGCAAAGTAAAGTTATATTAATATCCAGTAATAAAGTCATAGTAAGACTCTGAATGCAGAACTACATGATCTGTTAAGTTTTTGAATACATATATGACATTATCAACTGGTTGTATAAAACATAATTTATGCCAGAATTAATCTGACTCTAAGAGCAGTCTAGCTGACCATAGAAAAAATATGGTTCAATAATCTGGATATTGTTCAATTTGTAGAACTATATACTTGTTTTAAAGAACATGGAACAATACTCTTCTGTGCTTGCTGTGTTTTGAGAGTGATCATCAAACACATTCACAGACTGTGGCAAAACCATCTCAGGACCTTTCCTATCCTACTGCTCCATGTGCTATCAGTGTACATCTTAATTTATTGAGTTGTATAGCTAAGTGTTCTGATTTTCATTTTTATCTTCAAGATAAAAATGGCATTTCTCCATCACAGAGAAATTTCTTTTTCATGTTTAAAATAAATTCTAGTATTCTTCCTTTGAAGTATTCTCTAGAAGTTTCTGCTAATCTTTCTGTAATTTTTTTTTTGGTGCTAAATCATTTTGTTTCTTATTCCAAACAGAAGTAACACCAGAAGAAACTGTTTCCAGGAGAATTATCCTGGTTTATATTTAGCCTGGATTGACCTATTTCAGTGTGCAGTCACATGCACACCCTTCTACCTGGCCTCATCCTCCCTGTGAGCTGCTCAGTGTTCCTGTGGTCACAGAATGCAATTTGCATGGAAGAACCTCTGATGAAAGACAGCAGGCAGAGATTTTATGTCTGATTCAATAGGAAACAAAAAAAAAATCAAGTAGGAAAAGCACATGACACTAAAATACATAAATTAAGCCACTGTATTCCTGCCAACAAAGCTGAGAGAACATACTTGGTAATTCCCAGGGATAGTAGGGATATGGGTAACTCAGAATTCACAGAGAAATGCAGCTGGAATTCACCTGGAAATCACATTAGTCACAGCATCCAGCTCACACTGCCTAAGGGATTGGCTTTCTAGCCTTCCTAGTGCCAGCACCTGAAAACAGGTTTTTGCTTTGTAGCTGTTCTGTGATATCTGAGCTTCTCAGGCATATTTAAGTCAAAACTACCCTCCCCCTTGGTTTGGTTGGTGCTTTTTTAGGGTTTTATGATTGTTCATTGACACCTAGGGCTGCCCTTCCCAAGAGCCACAAGCAGAAAATGTAGCATCTCTAACTATACAGCCCCCATAGATAAAAAGTTAACAATTATCCAAAAATGTATGGAAAAAAACATGTAAGAGAGAGATACAATTAAAATTGTAGAATTGTAGAATTAAAATTCTACAATTCAGTTAATTCTGTCTCAAAGCAAACATTAAAATAGTAAGAATCTAGAAAGAAGGGTGTTTTATTCCTCTGAAATAAGGTTTTTATATCACCTGAAGACTATAGCCCTAAAGTGTAGACAATCTGTTCTCAGTTCATTTTAGAAGACAAAAGCCCAAAAGAACAATTTTGAGTTTCAGAAAGATTTACAGTACTCTGTAAAAATGTACTTCATACATTTCACCATCATGACAATTGATAGAAAGTTATTGTCAAGCAAACATTATTTCAGGATACAAAGACACTGCTATGCCGTTATGTACAAAATATATTTAATATTTGTTTTCAAATTTCCTGCTATTTTTCCTTGCTTTCTTGTGGTGAGCCTGTTTGATCATTGGTGTGTTTCCAGACAGCTGTCACCCCACTCTGGCAACCTCCCTGGTTTTGAATCTGTGGTGCAATTTACAGGTTTGCTATTCACATCTGTAATATATTACCTGTCTCTGTAGATGAGAACAATTTCATCTTACCCCCCATAAAGGCTGTGGGAACTCATATAAAGAGGACAGTACAAATAATCTTTATCCATTATGATTTATTCTCTACAATACTTCATTAGAGGATAGAGTTCAATTATTTACACTCAGAAATTATTATATAGGTAGGAGGCAACCAAGTGTAATATAAAGAATTGGTCTGACGTCTCTGCACTGTAGGTCAAAAGAGGTCTCCTGCTTTAAGGAAATAAATTAACCAAAAAAACCCCAACAAAACAACATGTAGTTTCTGAATACAAACAGAAAACAGCACTAATAGTCAGTGAAGACTGCAGAGGTTTGTTAATGTACTATGAAAACAAATTATTCTGTGCAAAGGTTAAAATGAACTCTTAGATTTCCTTACAGATTTTTTTTTTTTTGTTCTGATAAATTGTAGATATGTGATATTTTGACCATATAACATTCCCAAACCGAAATGGCTTCAGTTGAGATTGACTATTGAACAACATGAAAAAAAAATTAAGAACCTCACAGTGGAAACACTTCAACACTGACAGACTCCAGTGATCAAAGACATTCTCCTGTAGTTACCATAAAACAAAGACATTTCATCATTGCAGTGAGATTATTCATCAGTTGTGGTTGTCATGAGAATAAGCCCTTCTAGACCAAAAGGCACTTGCTTCTAAGGATGAGTTAATCCAGATCAAACCACGTAACAGTTGCTTTGAGGAGTGGTTCTAACCAGCTGTCCCAGCCAAGCAAACACAGAGAAAATATCACATCAATTGGCCACTGATTTTGGTTGTCTCCATCCTGAGGAAATTCAAACTGCAATTTGTGCCCACTTCACCTCTTTCATCCTTATGCATAGCTGCCATGTAATGATCTAGAAACGGGATTATTTCCTGAGACCACCTGTCCTTGTCATACATTTCTCTGAGCTGACTTAGCTACTGACACAGTTTTCAAATGATTTTATAGCTGGACCCTTATGGGACTAAAGCTGAGAGGGCCTGTTCCTTAGGCAGCAGACCAGTGTTTCTGATCTGCCAGCTTCTCTTCTCACTGCAACAAGACAAGAACACAGTACATATTTAGAGGCATTTATGTTTTGTTTGTGTTTTTTTAAACAGACTGAGTGGGGAAATAGAAGTGGGAGAGGACAAGACTTCCCCAGTCCCAAACCACCTGTCCCACTTCAGGCTTAAACCAACCAAGTTACTCAATCCTAAAATTCTGTTCTTTAAAAAAATGACAACTAACCCTCCCCACCCCACCCTTTAGTCATCCCCTAGTCAAAGAAACTGAAATCAGGAAAACACTATACACTGTTGAAGACACAGAACAGGGCAAACACCTGAAAAAGAAACAGTATAGTTGAAAAGCCTGGCACTGTATGCCTGCATGACCAGTCTCACCGAGCGTGCTCAGGGGTGAAGTTTTAGCACCATTTTTTTGCCTTTTTTTAAAACCTTTTAGAAATTAAATTCTAACATAGAACACTTGAACAGTAATGAGTGTAGCCCTATGTATCATACTGTTTGACAGCTGAAAGGTGAATGGTATGCCTGGAGCTGACCCCACCCTCCCCCATCACTACACGGCACCTGGGGGAGCAACTACAAACTGGAGTGGTTTGGAACGAGACTCATTTATTCTCAGCAGCAGGAAGTCACAAAACAATCCTTTCATCTTCAATTCTTTCCAACAACATCACAAGGGAAAAGTGGCAATTTGTAGGAATGACCCCAATAGAGAAGGAAAGCTGGGTCAATATTGCACCATTATCCAGAGGCATTCCCCTCACATCTCTCTCCTCCATACACCAACATGAAGCAAAATGGCACAAGCTGTGCCTTGCTTCCTTAGGACCAGGAGCAGCACCCTGCAGGTCTCAGTTCCTACCAGCCCTATTCCCTGCCTCACCACAGCATAATTTCAGGCTTCAAACACCAGCCAATTACAACACATGAGCAGGCTCAGAAGATGTGTGCAACCAAACAGCCATGACTCTGCTATGCACTTGTGTTCTCCTCCCCAGTCATTAGTGACCCTCCAGAAGCTTGGAAAACCAACCAACCAACCAAGCAACCAAGCAACCAACCAACCCTACCCCAAATTGTATTCTGGAGTCGTTATCTCATTGAAAGAGTGCCATAATTTAGAGTTTATGACATCCCTCAATGATGCTGCAGCATACAACTGATAACTTTCTTTCATTAAAGATTATTCCTTGTGACCATCAATCACCATGGGAGAAGAACTACAGAATGCACATGGGTTTCATGCCATTTGGGTAATACAGATTTCCCCACTCACTGCCTGCATGTGGCAATGACTAAGCTGTGTAAGATAAATCTTACCAGCAAAACTGAGCAGCACCATTCCATAGGCCTGGAATAAACTGGAACACCCACAGCCCCAAAGATCAGCAGTCATACCAGCCAAAGTGGCTGTTCTATCAAAAGGAAGGTCCCCAAGACTGTTAGCTTAAATTAAAACAAATTTCAGTCACTGGTCTCACTTGTACAACTACAGCCAATGCTCTGCAAACCCCTCCTCAGCCCTAATCCTATCTCTTACAAATATTTGGAAACAAAATTTGGTCAAAACAAAGACTGTCCAGGGACACTCGAGGATCCTTTCCTCTGCGTACACAGCACGTGCCATGTCACTCTTACAGGCAAAACACCATTGTATTTCACAGCAGGCTTCATCACCAAGAATCCAACCTCCCAAGGATCTGAGCCTTAAAGCCTTCAAGGGTTTATTTAAATAATGGATTAATTTTTCACATATTTTCTGTCCATGAGGACGGGGTGCTATCCAGGTGTTCAACCCATCCCCAATATCATGATGTCCGCCTGTGATGCGTGGGGACTGCAATCAGCTCTCAGTACACAACAGATACCAGAGGTTAAAAAAAAAATTAAAAAGAACCTAAAAAATGTTTTGTTGGACTCCGTTGCCCAGGCTGCCAGGGGAATGCTCCTACTTGATCTGGGGGGCTTCCATAACAAACAACTCCAGTTTCCAGAGCGTCAGTAAAACCCAGGGACAGATCAGTCCGAAGCAGCACTTTCACTCCTAAAGGTCTTCTGCACCTGACGACAGTTCGTAGGCATGGAGCCCCAATCCAACTGAACCCCCGCTGGGAGGGAAGGCTGAGATAAGGCTTGGGCCCCTGAAGTCCTGTCACGCTCTCACCCTCCCCCCAGGTCAGTGGGAAGGCAGACTTGGCAACGGAAGCTAGCATCATAAAATGGTGCAGTAGTAGAAGTAACTGGACCAGGAAGAGGAGGCGTCTGCCCCGATGATGTCATAGCCGTTGGCAGCAACTGGGGAGTGGGACTGGTCATGCAGCCGTGTGTCAGGAGTAATGATTGTAGAGGGGGGGGGCATGAAGGGTGCCATTCTGGAAACAATGCTGGCGGGAGGCCATGTACTCTGCATAACTGATTGTCACCTTCTCACTGCGGTACCTGCGGGAACAGGCAGAGACACAACGTCAGGCTGCGCAGCGCGGAGCATCCGAACCGCGTTCCCCCCGATGAAGGCAGCAATGATGAGTCTCACTCCATGTTCTCAGAAGGCTCATTTATTACTCTATCATACTATCTTACATTAAAGAATACTATACTAAACTATACTAAAGAATCCAGAAAGGATACTTACATAATGCTAAAAAGATAATAATGAAAACTCGTGACTCTTACCAGAGTCTTGACACAGATACTAAACTAATATTTGGCTCATCTGTCTTCAGAAGGTTTGTATTGAAATCATATTCCCACTGCTGGATATCAATCCCACTATAGGTTAGTTTATTAAGTCAAATAATTAGGCAGGCAACATAAAAGACAGATGTCATTGTCAGCCTGCAAATACACAAAACCAGTTAAAATGCCTAAAAGCTTGGCACTGATTGGCCAGTGAGTGAAAACAACTCACAGCAGAATCCAATGAAACAATCACCTGTGGGTAAACAATCTCCAAATACATTCCACATGAGCAAAACATAGGACAAGCAAATGAGATAATAATTGTTTTCATTTTTCTCTGAGGTTTCTCAGCTTCCCAGGAGAAAAATCCTGGGTGAAGGGATTTTTCAGAAAATGTGAAAATGCAGGGACTCGTCATAAAACATTCACCCAGCTCACAGCCAGTGATGACCAAGAGGAACCCACTGGTATGAATAACCCATGTGAGCTTGAATTAGCTCCAGGGTCCTGAAAAATGAGTCCTAATCAAGGTGATGATAATTAAAGGGATGCCTGAAGTAGCACACAGGAAATAAATGATTGGTTTGTATTCTTTTTTATCCACAAATTGCATGAAAATTTTGCTGGAAGAAGATTCAACTACAGTGATTAAATAATCAGTATTTCACTATTATTTACTTTTGTGGTTATCTCCACATTTGAAAATGTAGTGAAAGAAATGGAGAGGTGGGTAAAGAGAGGTTTATTACAGCACATAAATGACTTGGTCCATATTGTACAATCAGAACTCACAAAATGTGAAGTTTCTTTGGAGTTTTCCAAGTTCTTCTAAAGCATGCAAAATAACAGCCAGCTACAAAATGGTTGTGAGTTGCCCTAAGACCATATTATGTGAGATTTTAATGAAAACCTTCATCCTGTCACCTCCTGTTCAAGAAAACCCTGCACACTCACCTCATTTCTCTAGAGGTAAAGAATGACCTGATAATTTAGTGTTTCTATAGAAAACCAGAAAGTCACAATTTTTACTAACATAAAGGGGGCAGAAACCAATAGGACAGCTGGGGGTACAGAAAAGCAAGCAAATTCTGAAAACCAGCCAAATTTGAGTGTAGTTTGGTTTTATGACAGGTGTCACCTACTAATAGCTACAGCATTCACAGATGAGCACATTGAGAAAAGGAAGTTGATTGAAAAGATGCAAAAAAAAAAAAAAAAATCAACCTTTTTAACTCTCAAAGATTCTGCTTCTGATCTTTCAGGTGTATAGAAATATTAAAATCAGTGACACTTAGAAAAATACCAATTTTGATCCTGTATGGACCAAACACATTGTGCTTAATTCCATGTGCATTATATGCCTAACACATGGCATTTGTGATTTGCTCTTTCACACTACATCTCCTCTGGAAGAGGCATAAAGACTTACATCAAGCACAAATATTTAAATCACCCAGAATACACTATAAAGTAAAATTAAAAGACAACATATACATCTGCTTACCTGGTAAGTTTAATTGTTTTCCTAAAATCATTGGTAATGGGAGCCTTAAAGCCACCTTTCCTGAGTAAGGAGTCTATGGTCTGGATCTGATCCCAGTCTATTGAAAAATAGAAGCAAGGCAAATTTTTCAATATAAAAAATATTTCAAAACCACAAGAGATGCATTAAAAGGACTCTAGAAAAACAAACAACTAAACAAACTCTGAGCTTTAGAAATCCTAGTGTTGAGCTGGACATACATGGCCTGATGCATGCACACTATCTGCACATGCCTACCCCTTTAAACTCATACTGGAGCTGGTCTATGAAAGAGCAATTCCATTTTCCATTCCATGTCTTCTTATAAAGGTCTGTGCCTTGCTACTGTTGCAGAGACCCCAAATTTTTTTCGTCATGTGCCACTTAGCTCCTTTGAAAAGAAGATAATACTAATTTCTTTACACAGACAAATTGGGATTGGTGCTCTAGTGATGGCACAGTGCACTGCCATGTGAGAGATCAGAGTTAAAATTCCTACCTTAGTCTTTTGCCCCAGAGCCAGGAGGATGCGACCACTCCACTCTGCTAGGTGGAGGAAAGGAGGAGGCAATATTTTGAGCAGTTACCATGGTGAGCACTACTCTATTTGAGTGGGAAGTGTGCTCCAGAGGGGCTGTGTTTCTAGCCCTCCTCTGGAGGATGCTACTTTAGCAAGAATGAGGAGCAAAGTGACTCTCCTGTTGGTGCTGTGCAGCGTGCAGTTATCCTAGTTGGTGGGAGAAACATAGAAGAGGAAAGATGCAATGCTGAACGAAGCTGGAAGATCCATAACTTTGAGATCCTCTATTTCTTCAGCCCTAAAACATTCTGGCACTAAAATACAGCTGTGCAAAGATATGGGATGAGAGACAGGCCAGATGAAAATCCAGCAGCAACTGTACCAGGTGTCAATTGTCCAGATTAAGCCTGGTGGTTCCATGGCACCACTGTGAGGACAGCATTGTATTCCAAGCCCCAAACTGATAGATTGTTACCCAATTCTGTGACACAAGGTGTTGACATGTTTGGCTGCCATCTCAAACCCACCTTGTTCCTTAGCAACCTCAGGTAAATACGTGGCTGTGCGTTTGACACCTTTCTCATTGATGAACTCTATTCTGATCCCATGGATTCCAACCTAGAGATGGAAATGAACAGCCAGATAAGAGGTGTCTGCTAGCACTGAGCCCATGACTGAGTTGTCATTCCCACAACTCTGTGCATCTCTCTCTGCACAGCTTGGCTTTTGCCTGGGTAAGGTCATTCTCTTCCCCATTCTCTGCTCTTGCCTGGCAGGTCTCACAAGGAGCTCTCAGCCACCCTTCCCAGACAAGCCTCACCAGTGGCCCTGCCACTTCTGAGCCAAGTCTTGTCAGTTTTCCATCTCTTGTGTCAGGCAAGAGAGATAACATCTCTGCATGCAAGAATGATGCCTAAAATTACCTGATTATGAAGTCCATATATATACTCTCCTTGAATGAAATACACTTCAATGTACAAGGTCCTAAAAACCATTCATACCTTGGATATTAACTACTTTTTATTTCCAGTTCCTATCCACACCATCAAAATATTTCCCAGGTTTTTATACAGGTATTTACACCCATTTTCTACTGGGCCAAATCCATGAACCACCTTCACGTTTCTCTATTCCCATTCAGATCCCCCCCAACCAAAAGCAAATATTATTGCTGGGCCATCCGCTTCCTTCCTTCCTTCCTTCTAGTTTTCCAGCCCCACTTCTTCTATTCCCAGTCTCTTCTATCCCCATCCACCCCTGTAAGGAAGGAGATACATCACCATGTACTAACCCGAACCCGAATGGAACGAGAGAGTGATGCAGAGTTCCAAATGCACCTGTTCTCACCTCCCAGTCCAGGTAGTCACTGGCATCCTCAAAGTTAGTGAGGAGGGAGACAGAGCAGAAGAGTTTGGGCAGCTCCTCGCGGGTCAGGGGGGGAAATCGGCTGTCCTTAAGTGCACTAAAGGGAACAGAAGATACATCACCCAATACAAGCAGCAAAATAAAGTGTCAGATGCTCAATTATTGCCCTTTTGATTATGCCTGCATGAAACATGCTTCTCTGCTACTGCAGAGAAAGTGATTTGCATCTCTCCCTAATTTAATGAACTGTAATACCAGTGGCAAGCCTCCTGATGCTGTCCAATGCCTACTGCAGGCTGAGAGAAATTACGTGCTACAGATGTCAAAACTGTAGGCATGCAAGACAGATTTGACAGTGGCCTGAAAATGCCAACTGCAACTCACCTTTTGCAAAGATGTTCCACTACATCCTGATACATCACTTCACTGTAACTCTCATACACTCAGGTATAGCTCATTATGAAGCATATTACATTGAACTATATTGATCCAACATCCTAACCCTGAATCCTTACAGTGAACGAACTAAATTCATATTAATTTCATAATTATTTCATTTTTGACAGTTACCTGGTTAATGTGTATTCCCTGAGTCCTGAGTGAAGATTCATGGCTGAAAAGGTCCCGATGCAGCCACGAAGCCGCTTGTCTCGCCCCGTCTTCCACGTCACAAAGAGTGGACTGAAAAGGCAAAAAAAGAAACAAACCCTCCAGCCTCTACAGGTATTTGGTTGCTAAGGGGAGAAAACAAAGGTATGAAGAGCCCCATGCCTTTGCTTTCTGTCCCTGCAGTAAACCCCAGCAGGCAGGTTTGCTCACCTGCTATCTAGCAAGAAGAAAACTTCATGCCCACAGCCCCCACATGCAAGCCCCAGCACTTCCCTCCACCCTGTCAGCACACTCCATCCTCCCCAGCAGGACTCTGAAATCCTCCATGGACACATTCCTGGCCAGATCTGATGTCTTCTAAGGACCGAAATGGTTATTTGATCCCACTGACTACCTGCCAGTATTGGCCTCACTTTGTAGCCCCACTAGTTTCCAGCATAGGTCATATAGAAATTAATATAAATGATGCAAGTTAGTTCTTTACACTATCACTTCTATAAATCAGATTTGGAGTAAAACCTTTTCTTTTTTGCTTTTTAAGGAATGAAAAGAAATCCAGATTATTCTTTTCTCCCCTTTATTTCCATGAGGATCTGACTTCTGGGTCCACCCCTAAAGCTCAAGCAGTTTATGTCCACACCTTTTGCTAACCTTACATTTGATTTGTATTTACACACATTTTCTCCTGTTGAACACATATCTAAACCACTATTGTTCCTACTCAAAATCACCTGGATTTCCACTTTCCTGACTACCATCACAAATTTACAGGCACAACAGTAGATTCTCAAACTCAGCAGGCTCATTTCAAGCTGTTAAACTACACCTCCTGATTTGGCATTAAAGAATAACAACTTCAGAATAATAGAGCTCTACAAAGAGATAAACAGGTAAAGATGACTGTGAACATTAAATACAGATAAATTAACTGCAAAGAGCTGTAGAGAGAAGCACTAAAAGGACAGTGGTGGTTGCAGCTCTACAAGAATGTCCAAACATCTGCAAAATTCTGTAAGGCAACTGATAATGCTGACCTAATTATAAAAACAGGATGAGTGATTCTGTGCCTTGTTCAGAGTACTGAATGCAAGACATCAGTCTCTGGATTTCTACTGAACTTTAAGTAACATGATAGCACATGATTTTCTGAGATTAAAAAAACATTGACAGGGGTTTTGAACCATCAAGACTGATTTGACAACAGAGTTCAGACACTTTCCTCAAATTCTTGCAGCTTTTGTGAGCAATGCATCTCTGCAGCAAACCTTACAAAAATACTAAGATTTCTGTTCAGGCAACAAATCCAGCATGGAGTGTGGATGATTTCTCAAACACAGCAACAAAACTTAAGTCTAAGTGGTGAGAACATAATTTAAACTGTAGTAATAAATCAATGCCCAGTGAGGCTCCTCAGAGCAACAATGGAATTAAATCCATCACAGCATAAATTCATCACTCAGGATCTAAATACCAGCTGTGACCAACAGCAAAAGCACTGCCCAAAAGAGCAATTAGCCCTTGAGTGATAATTGTGAAGGACTTTGCCCACAGAGGAAGTGGAAACATCCTTCCACACCCAACAACAACCTCCTGGCTGGCTTGACCAAGACAGGGGATTTGCTGTTCTAGTTCTCCAGTAACCCTTCAAAGCACTTACAGGATATAATTTTTCTACATTTTCATCTGTCTATTATATGTTGAAAGAGCAAACAGAAAAAGAAAACTTAAAAAAAGGACACGAAACTTACATAGGAGATCTCTGAGAAATGCTATTGTCACAAGTTCAGTGGAAATTTACCCTAATCTAATAAAAATGTTGAAAGTACTGCTCAGTCCATGTTACACTCACCTCAAAGAGAAAAGGCAAGGGAAAACATAAACCCCATCACTCACAGGATACAAATCTAAGTAAATTCCCCTTCAATTCAAATTGCAGGTTCACATTTTCAATTTATCTCTTTCCCCTTCCAAAGGGAAAAAAATCCCAGAACCCATCTTTGCACTGAGCTGCAGCACAGCTTTATGCATCTATAATAGAAGAGATATTATCAGAGGGAAGAGGATAATTGCATTCAGAAGGCTGTATATTTTAAAATACCTTAAAGCACATTTAAAACCATTTTTCATTGTGGTCAGAACAACTGAGGCATAAAAAAAGATATGATTCTGTACACATAGATAAAATTTCACTATTTTCACTGCAGAGAAGATGATGTTTCTGTCTCTGAAGAATAAATGCACTCAGCAAATTGCAGGTGCAGCTGACAATAAGGCCATTGTTCCAGAGCCCCTCCTTGAAAAGTGTTATTTCCCAGATGTACTGAGAAAAGTCACAACAATCTTTTGTCCATGTTCACCCAAGAGCATTTACTGGTACTTTGCAGCCATATCCTCAGCAGATTATGTCAACTCTTCCTTCCCCAGCCACAACATCCCACTTTATATATGTTTGATGAGGGTTTTTAGGCTGAGAGGAACTAAAACTAACAGCAACTAAAAATTAGCTTCATCAATTGCAACTCCAAAGGGAATTTTAAAGTAGCAAAATACAGATTGTTTGAATCAGGCTTTAGCTTGTGCTAGGGAAAAACCTGTTACAGAACAGATCTTATGATGCAAATATCCTATTATTTGTCTTGTATGGCAACTAGAAACTTCCATGGTATAGTTCTAGCACCAGTTTGTAATATCTACTATTAAAAAATCAGACTGAAGTACAAAAGTGGAAAAAGTAACCAGTCAACTACTTGCATTGCTTCCAAACTGTAATTACTTGCAGTAACCTGAATAATAAAGGGGATATTTCCTTCCTTTGCCGAGTTGATTCAGACATAACTACAGGTCTTGCAATGCCACCATCCCTCCATTGATCTGTCACCCCCACTGCTAATACTGGAATATAAGGGAACTTTACTTCAGGTGTCTCCCATAATTCCCATGGATATGTCCATGTGCACATCCCCCCAGGCTGGTGACTGAAATTCATGTGGTTTTCAATCCATAACTCTGTAACTTGCATGTTATTACACTGGTTATGCCAAATCCTGACCTTCACACCTGCTTTTAGCTTTACTTCAAAGTTCAGCAGTTTAAAAACCACTGTGACTTTCTATTCAATCAAAAGTCTCTTCTCTGTCTGTCCAGAGAGACTCCTGGTATAAACCTTTGTTTTGTCCAAAGATCTCTTATATTGACATTAATTATGTCACAAAAGGCCACAATGCAAATTATCTCTGTACTTTCACTTTGCTTACTCCTGTATTTGATAACATTTGGCTTAAAGTTCGTTACAAGACTATCTCAAGTGAGGCAGTTCCTCCTTGTGTGCTGCTCTCCAAGAGAGCAAACCCTGGGGTACATCCATTTCCTGGGAGCAGAAGAATAAATGCTGAAACACCTGAAAATCGAGGTAAGCATTTGCTGACAGAGAAGAGAAGGCAAGGGCTGATTATGCTTTGCTGGTGTGCTGATCTAAAAGACTTTAATCATAAGCACTGAAATAACCAGTGAACGATTTTTAACTTTTCAAATCTGGGCATAAAAATTCAACCAGCTGCTATTCCCCAAAGGACATCCTTTTTGATACCAGTCAACAGAAAAAGCAAGAAAATCCAGCCAGAAATCTCCTCTGACACCAAAAGAATGCAGCTCTATAAAACCATCTCTCTTATCAGCTTAACAGAACAACAGCAAATAACCCTTTGCACCCTGAGTGACAAACAGCAGCAGACTGACACCAAATGTTCTAAGGAGACCTCACTCAGTGTAGGTATCAATACCAGAAATTTCAGCCTGGGGAGTCCCTGGCACTGTTTGATATCCCAGCCCTGAGCATTTCTGTGTCCATTTGTATTTACAGTATTAAACAGCTCACTCTGCAGCAGCATTCAGAACATGTATCCATAATCCAGCTGGGATAATAACTGCAAGGAAGCACAACCTACATCCACCTTGACAGCAGAAAGGTGGGCACACACTGACTGCACAGAAAGGAAGTCCTTGACCTGCTTAAGCCATTGTTCTTTACATCAATTTAAAATTCATTAGCTTAAATTAAGGATGTCAGCAACTTTTTATTGTATCTATTGCTCTGGAGGAGGCCCCAGAGGAGTGTCAGAAGGTCCATCTGTCACTGATCTTTCCCCTATAATTCTTTTAACAAACATTTCAACAACATTAACATTTCCACACCTACACAGTCAACCTTCAGACAAACATCAATTAAATCTCACCAAAGTGAAACAGCTTCATAAATCCTTCTCCTCACTTCTGCTCACACACATCTCCTTTCCTCCTAACCTTGGGACCGTCCTTGAAAGTTAACTCTCTTGGCAGTGCTGGCCTCATGGTTAGACTCAAAGGTTTTTCCAACCTAAATGATTCTAGGATTTCTCCCCACATTGCCCAGCTATTCCTATCTCCCTAACACATCTTCTATAACTGGTAATTTTTAGATTCCCCTCCCTGCTAAACCCATTCGCTTGGACAGCTGAAAACTTCCTTGAGCGTCCTTGCCCAACCCTCACCAGCCCAACATTTGTTTCAGGGTAAGCTGGAAACTTGTTCCAACTTCAACTTCCTGCTTTATTCCCTTTCTGTTTACTTTACAGAAGGAAGTCTTTTCCCCTCTCCAAGTCAGTGTCTCACATCAGAAGCTGGAGCTTCTTCAAATTAATGACATTATTTGTTTTTTAGTACAGTTTTGTAGGTGGGACTACTCAGCTAATCTAATTTTTTACAGAGGAATCTACTTAGAAGGAAGGGGGCAAACATTACCAGAACACTTCCATGAAGTGGCTTTGCACTCCTGCACAAAGAACACAGTGCCTCATGGAACACACCAGCCTGTGAGCTGAAGAAGCACCACACCTCTTCACACTTGGCCTAGCTCTTTCTGTGTCTAAGGACACTCTTTAAAGCTCACTAACCTCCACCAACAAACAGCACTTCAATCTTTTGTGCACTTAGAGAGCATCCTTTTGTGTCCAGCAGACAAAGCAAGCAGCAGAGTGCTCCCCTTTCTCCCTGCACACCCCTCTCCCCACTCCCAGAGGAAACCCTTCACCCTTCCCCAGGCACACCCCAGCTCTGGGAGCTTTGCTGTACTCACTAGGGGTCATTGGTGAATCGAGGAAGCCGTGGCTGAGGGAACCCGTAGAGATGACAGTAGAGTACATCAAAGCAGTAGCAGCACATCTCTGCTGTCACCACCAGGTTCTTGGTGCTGTTGGCAGTTCCATTGGGCCGACTAAGTGGGCTCAGAGCTCCTGAAGTGGGATTCATTCGAGTAATTGGGGAATTTCCTGGGCCCAAAGTCAAGTCAGATACGTTCTCCCTTCCATTATTCCCATCTGTGTGCTGGTGGTTCTGAAGAGGACCTGAACTGGAGCTTGGTGCAGTTGTGGTCTGATTCCCATGACTGTGCGTTCCACTCCCAGACAATTTGGGCTTCTTCACCCCACAACAGCCAGCTGCCAGCTTGGGCTCAAGTGGAGGAACACAGCGTCTCTTTCCCATCCTGCTTCAAAACTCGCTGCCTGAGCACTGCAGAACCCTGGCACGGAGGGTGGGGAGGGGGAAAAGCATTACACACAGAGTTACAGGGGGAAAACCAACAGCTGCTTCCTTGCTTCTGCTAAAACAGAGGGAGAAAACCCTCCAAAGCACAGGACAAGCACAGCACTAAAGGCAGCTCAGCAGAATGGGTGTTTCACACATAGTTGGGAGAGAAAGGACACAACCTGCATGCAATCACACTTTCCAAGGTAGTGAACACTTTAATAGGTGGCTCATCACAAAAAACTGTCACCAGACTTCCCATAAAAAGAACAAAACTGTGGGAAAACTGAAGGAAAAAATACTTGGGACTACAGATACACCCTATCCCCTGCTTCTCCTGCTCACCCATTCCTCCTCAGTCAATGCCTGCACCAGTGGCAAAAAAGTGCATTTCCCTTCCCTGCTCCTTAGAGAGTGACAGCAGCCCCAAATGACACCTTTGGGGCTGGACTCCCAGGGCTGCTGCCCTTGATTTGGCACTGGCAACATCAAAGAGGAGCTAAAAGCACTGAAACCACCATTTTCTAAACGACAGACTATTTTCCAGACCACAGACTGGAATGTGTTTATTTTCTGGGTCTAGGTGAATGAATACAGCTCCCAAATAAACATGCAGGGGGGACAGGCAAGATGTGCATGACAGGAAGAGCTGAAGCCAGCACAGAAAGAGATAATAGCAGGAAACAGGCATGGTATAAAAAACCCAAGAACCCAGAGCAGTGTTTTGCCTGCAAAGATGAGAATATTAGCTCATGCAGCACAAGAAGGGGCGGAACAAACACAGGGAGGAAAGGCTGTGCAGGCATAGATGAACAAACATGATAGGCGAGGATTACAGGTCAGTGGCAGGAGCTTAAGCACCAACATCACTGCGAGATCTGAATGCAGGGGAGAGAAAGCCAGGCTGTCAAATGGGGCACGTGAAACACAGGGGACACCACGGGGGACTGAAGTCACACTCAGCAGCACCAGGGAACTGCTGTGACCACCAGAGCAGCCCTCCAACCCTCCTAAGCTGAGAGCACAAACAGGGCTGGGGGGTGAGGGGTGACACGCACTGAAATTCAGGTTGTGACAACTCCCTCCCTCCTCGGCACGTGCAAAGACAGCAAACTTTGTTCGTGAAGTTTCATCGGTCACAGCAGGAGCCACAGCACTCTGAACTGAACCAGAACTGATGGGAAGGGTGTTGAGGGGTGCACCTCGCATGCCCGCAGTGCTTGCTCTGCTTAGGAATCCTCACCGCAAGGTTTTACAAAGACCATAAGGAACAATTTACATGACCTAAGGAAAATGGTATTTTTTTCTTTGAGCTGTACTTTTGCAATAATAATAAAATTAAAAAAAAAAAAAACTAAAAAGGAAGGAAACCAGGCAGAAGAAAAGCATAACTTTGACAAAGCGACCGTGTAAATTCTTCACTGCCTATTAAAAGTAAACCGCTCTGGCTCTTTGAGGGTGCTGAGCCTTCCCCAGTTAGCACTGACGGCTCAGCCGCATTGGGGAAGATAAATCATTATTTATTTATCTGGAAGCACAACACTTGATTCAAGATCGGAGACGTGGCAGGGGCAGGGGGGAGCTTCCCTCTCTTCTCCGCTCCTCTGCAGCAGGGGCCTAACAAAGGCGGCCGCTCGGCTCCAGCCCCGCTTCCCGGGAGCGCCCGGCGGGCGGGCCGGGGGCACACGGGGGCACCGCGGCGGCGGGACGAGCCCCGGCTGCTGCACAAAAACTTTGCGGGCTGTTCGGGGGATCCCGGGCGCCGCCGGGCCCGGCCCGGGGACACCCCGGGGACCCCCCGTGCCCCGGCCCGACCCCCCCGAGCGGCCCCGGGGCCGCCAGGGGGCGCCGCGGAGCGGGACCCCCCTGCGGCCTCCCCAGCCCGGGGCGGGCGGGCGCACGGCGGGGCCCCCTCCACCCGCGCCTCCCTCACGGCCCCGGCGGGGTCACCCACCTCCTGCACCCGTCCCGGCTTCTCCTCCGCCTCAGCCCCGCCGCCGCCGCTGCTGCCCCGCAGCCTTCTGCCGCCTCATGGGGCCATGGGCCTGGGCGAGGCTCCCCGGAGAAGCGGGCCCGGCGGGCGGGGGAGCGGGCAGGGCCCGCCGCGGCCGGGGCTTCCCGGGGCGGCCGGAGGACCGGAGCGAGGCCGCGGGCAGGTCCGCCGCTATCCCGGCAGCCTCCTCCTCCTCCTCCTCCTCCCGGCCGTGAGGTAATGAGGGACGGACACTCATAGTCCGCCAGCCTCCCGGCGGCGCCAACACAGCCAAGGCCCCAGGGCGGGCGCTCTGCCCCACGCAGAAACCATAGAGACGCGCGCTTCCGCGCCCTCCCCGTCACGTGAGCAGCGCACGTGCGACGACAAACAGTTCCGGGGGCGGGGACGTCACTCGGCAGCAGCGCCGCGCTGCCATTGGCCAGCAGGGGCGATGACGACATTAGGGGGAGGGGTGCAGGGCGGGGAGCGTCCATTGCGCGGCTGGAAGCGGGGGAGTCTCTCCACCCCTCGGTGCCCGCAGCGTTGGTGCGGCCCGGCGCTGAGAGGGCAGAGCGGGGCGGCGGCCGGGCCGGAGCGCTGAGGGAGCTCCCGGGACGGCTTTAATTATACCCCCGTGTGTAACGGATTCAATTATAGCCGTGTGTAACGGATTTAGGGCAGGAGCCAAGATAGCACAACGGCACCAACGCAGAAATCAGTCTTTTAGTGTTTCCAACCGCCAACGGCGCACCCAGATCCTTCCGCCTCCGCCCTTCTTCATAGCACCATAAAAACCAAAGTAGAGAATTGGTTACTTCGTCAAGGGTTTAGGGACAGCTTGTAGAAATACAGGTTTTCCTCTCTCACCCTGAGGGAATTCTCTGGCAGCACACAGTCTGGAGTCACTGGATGGAGGGGACAAGGGTTGGGCTGTTGTGGCTGTGTGAGGTCCATAAGGGTTGGGATAAGAGAAAACCACAGCGCCCATTCCCGATTCCCTTCTGACAACACCGGTAAAACACCTGGGCACGATGAAGAGCAAGCTTTGCATAGCCCATTGTACCCACAGTGCACATCCAACCCCAACACACAAACTGGCTGAACCCTTTCAAGACTGCAAAATGGAATGTATGCCATTTCTGGCCAAAGCTTAAGCAATAAAGAAGAGACAAAAATCATGAGCTGGAGAAATTTGGTTCAATGTCAGTGGATCTTGCTGTCTCCTACAGAATGGTTTGGTAGGAAAGGACCTTCAAGCTTGTCGTGTTCCACCCCCTGCTGTGGGCTGGGACACCTTCTACAGTTTGCTCCTGGCCTTCAACATTACATAATCTACACGGTTTCCACAGCAGAAGAGCAGCACTGTAATTATTGCCGTTCTAAGGTTACAGAATAGCATCATCCTTTTAAGTCCCTAAATAGCAACTCAGGAAAACAAAGGTTACAAAGAATTGGGTGAGAATACCCAGAATAACACATGAAGAGGGAGTTCCTAACTTCTGCAGTGTTTAAAATAATCCTTCCCTCCCCTCTTCCCCCCACATACCTCACTCTGCTGGTAATGCCTTGGATTGCACCTCAAACCCCTTTGCCAAGATATGAAACACTTCCCAACCTGACAAAAGTCCACTTCATAATCACCACAGAGCTTCTTGTGGAGTCCTTAGGAACCTGGGAGTGTCAGTGCTGTTTTATTGCCTTGGCAACATCAAACAAATATTTCACCAGTTGTGCATGCTTTCCTGTTCTTGGAGCACAAGAAATGTGAGGTGATAGCAGAAGTTTAATTCCCACCTTTTCTGGTCTTACCTCTGCTTTTAATTTCAACACACACACACAGAACTACTGTAACTTTCCTAATATCAAAGTTACAATATCATTATATTAGAATTGTATCTTACAATGGAAGTAGTTTCATTTGAATGAGCAAAATCAAGGTAATATGAAAGACTACCACCAAAAGCTGAAATAAACTTGGTTTGCATGTGTTAAAAACACAAAACCAGTGTGAATATGGACATGCTACTTACTTCTCTAATTATAAAAATCAGGAAATAAGAATTAAATCTATTTTTAATATAAGTGCTGAAAGAATTCAGTTCTCAATAAAGGCAAGGTAACAGCACTACAACTGGAGGAGCAAAAGAATATATTCTTAACAGTTAGTTCATGACACTGAAGTTTCCTGCTGAGGTGACTAAAAATGAACTGATTTAGCAATTTCTCTAAAATATGAAGGTTAAATGCACAAGTGCATGGGGGATAACCCATATTTCATCTTTAGGACCTGAACTGCATTACTTACCCTCCACAGCACAGGGTGCTGGCTGGTTCCCAACATGTTCTCTTCCTCTCAGGCTCCTTCCAAAGCTTGTTTTCAAGTTTACAGCTTGAAGAGTTTCACTGGCACAAAGGTACACGAACTGCTCACATACAAAACCCTCCAATTCCTTTATTCATGTTTTCAGGATGTATGTGGTACGTACAATTAACATTACACCAGCTACAGCACCTCTTACAAGAGGTACCTCAACACAAATATCCCAGAGCACCAACACAGACACAGACACTACAATATCACTTGGAAATTATTTTCCCCCCTCCCCCCTTCTTTTTTTTTTTTAAATTTTTTACTTAATCTTGACAGCTAGGGCTTCTGAGCTGTTGGAGATTCTTTGTGGCAGATCCCCTATAGTGCAGTGGCACTGGTGTAAGAAGGCTGCTTGAGACACTGGAAGGTCAGAATGAGAACTGAATGGGGTAACTGAAAGAGGTGCCATTTCCACTGCTGGAAGCTTGGCTGCTCTCTGGGTCCATAGCTGTGTGTCAGCCTCCTGGAGTCCCCTGCACAACCTCCTGCCTTACACGTGTCTCCAAACCTGACACATCAGGAGTTAAACAGTGGGACTGGAAAGACTTTAAAAAGGGATGAGCCTGAGAGAAATCTTTGTTCATCATGACAAGATCAAGGACAATCCCTTCAGGTCACCAGGCTTCACGTGTCCATCTGTTCCCTAAACTCATCCTTTTTTTATTCCGATGCTCTGCTTAAAAATAAACCCAAACTACAAAAAGGTTCAGCTCCGTTCTGTACACGTTCTCCATTTCCAAAGTCATTAGTCTGCGTTCAAACCTTCTCCTTTCGCTTCAATTTGGACACTTTCTTGACAGTTCCATTCTTGTTTAGAAGCTTCAAAACACGATCCTTGTGATCCAAGACCTTTAGCATGGAGTCTCGAGCTTCATTGATTTGATCCATCACGAGTTTACACCTCTGCATGTTCCCCTGAAAGGAAACACTGGTTATTAACCACAGAATGCCTTCCCATTTCCCTACCTGTGCTCTTGTAACTGATGACACAGGCAGTGAACCCACATGGGGGTTTTTATGTCAGCTTTAGCTTTTGCTAACAGCAGCAGGATGCCTTGTAACCAAGGGTATGGTTTTGGGTTTTGGCCACAGGACCTACCTGTATCAGTTCATTGATTCGATGCAGGTCATCATCAGTTGCTGCCTTTTTCTTAGGAATGAGTCCCTCCTGCAGGGCAGTCAGTCTCTCATACACATCGTGCTCCAGGTTTGTCTAAAAGACATCAGCCCTTCATGAGAAGGGTCACTGCCAAGCTGGCAAACACTTGCCCATGTTACCAAAACTACACAGAAACAGTGACAATCCATTCCCCTCTCAGCTGCTCTTGTCAGTGATTCAGAAGATGGAGCCTCTGACAAAATGTGGCACTATCATTCCTTTTAACATCCTATTTACAGGATTGCTCCTCTTCTGAAGAAACATGGATCCTACCACAACTGCTTCCCCTACTGCTCACAATACTATTCCAGGAATGCAGAGGTTTTGGGGAGTTTGGTGCTAAAATGCAGAGCACCTACCTCACCCCCAACCTGAAACAGAAGCATCCAGGAATGTGGATCAGTGCTGCCTCCTCAGATCAGCCGCACCATCCCAAACAGACGCTTCTTCAGACCTGTGCATCAGCAGGAGGGAGTTGCCAGTTTTGATCATCTGTACAAAATACATCAGCTCTTATGTCTGGATCAAAACCAACACTCCAAGTTTCCAAGCCACTTAATGCCACATTTCTGAGAAAGGGGAAAGCATGTCCCACTCCCTTTGGGCACTATACACCAGCTCCTTTAGGGTTAACTCAGTGTACTGAGTTTGTCAGAATGTCTTCCTGCCTTACACAGCTTTGTGTTCCCCCATGTTCAGGAAGCTCCAAGGCCCATGCACCTACCAGCTGTAGTAGCTGTGCTGCACAGAGATGGACCTTCCAGCCTTGTGCACGACAGGACACACCCTTCTGATTGGCAATCTCCTGCAGCATGGCCTTCTTCTCTTCTGTCACCAGGAAACACAAGAATACAGGAGTTAACTTTCAGGAGTTGGCCAGGCCTCTCCTCTCAAACAATAACCCAAGTTCGGCTCCCCCTACAACCTAATAAATGACAATGAGCAGCTTTTTGATTCAGACAGGGAAGTGACTTCCCATCTGCCATGAACCTGACTGCTGCTCTGACTAACAGGTTATCTGTACTTTCAGAAAGATGATATCATAACCCATTTTTTTTTTCTAATTTAAACAATGTAGTGCTCAATGTTTCAAACACCTGGCACAAACAAGTTCATGGTACATCTTGTACAACTTCTACTCTCTCCTAGATGTATTTGCAGAGTTGTGAAAACACAGTCTGCTTAGAAATTCTAATGCTAGCTGAAAAGTCTGGAAGACAGTATCTGATCTCTGATTTCCTTGTATTAGGTAAAAAAGTCTTCTTTAAAAGACCATTTTTGTTACTTGACAAGTTACACTAAATACAGAATGTCTGTGATTAACTGGCAAGTGTTAGGTGGCCGATGAGAACACGTAGCCGTGGCCTATCACTACAGCACATCACTTTCATGAGGATACCTTTTGTGAGCATGTTTGTATCACTGCACAAAGGCAGATAAATCAATAACCAGAGCATGTTTTCATGTACAGAGGCAGAGCTGACAGTGCAGCCTCCTTCCCTCACCGTGCTC